GGTCAGAATTTCAATCTTGTGTTTTCACACATCTTAAATGGATTTCAGAGGCACTGGCATTGCCCTGCTCCTCTCTCTAAACAATGTGGTTAAGCTTCTGTAGCGTTGCTAGAGGCTGCATTCCTCCTGCATTGTGATGTGGTTTTTGGAAGTCATGCATGCAGTTAGCTAACCAAACTAAGCTGTTTCATTAATGGGAGCAAATTCAAGAGAGAAATTGTGAATAGGAACAAGACAAGTTTGCTTTCCTTTCCACCCCTAATTCAAAAAGCCAGATAATTAAGTAGGCGGAGAAAGGAAGTATCCCTTCTGATTCCAAGAGCTGGCTCTCTCTGTCTCTCCATCTCCTTTCTTTATTAGGTGGTGATGGTGGTTGTGGTGTGTGTGTGTGTGTGTGTGTGTGTGTGTGTGTGTGTTGCATGGGGTGGGGGGCGGAGGGGGGGTCGTTATGAGGAATTCCTAGCAAAAGATCTATTACCCCAGCCCCTCGGAGTAAGCTGTTTCTGTCATGTGTTTTCTGTTCTGTTCTGCTTCCCTGTCCCTTCCACTTAGTTCTACGTAGCCCTCAGTAGCAGTTCCACATCTCTACCTGCCAACTCACCCCCCACCCCCAGCTGTCACTTTGGATGCCACCTCAAAGACAAGGTTCATCAGCATGAACTCAGTCCCCACCTACATCTTCCACCTATGGATGCACACAGAGATGACGTTCCTTTCCTCTTACTTCCCTGCCTAGAAGAGTCCCTGTCCGTCTGCAAAGCCCAATGCTCTTCTGTGGCCTGATTCCCAGTATGAATCTGCTTGCCAGTTACCCTGTCGCTACCATGACTCCTTCTCAGTATAATAAACGTGTGCAACTCCCTCATATTCCAAGAAAACATCTTCCCTCAACCCTGCCTCTGGAGCTACCTTTCTCACCCTTGAGGCTTGTTTTCTCCACCTCATATCTTAACAGTCTACCCACTTGTGAAAACCTCACATCTCCACTGCCATCATCTCCAGTTCTGGCTTCTGCTTCTCCTACCCCATGGCTGGTGGCCACTGATGCTGAATGTTCAGACCCAGTGGACCTCCCCATCCATTTTCTATTCACATCTGAGCAAGACAGCAGGAGGACGGCCAAAGTGACCTCTTGAGGGGGACTGCTGGTTCAGTCTTCTGATGTTTTTTTTCAGAGAGCCTAGACTTTCAGACAAAGACATTTTTCATCTACCAAACTGCATATTTTTACTTAGATATTTAAAAAAGCAATCTCAAGCCTTCTGAAAGAAAATGTAACATTGATGCCAAATCAGATGAGAACTAACACTTGGTATCAACAGGAATATATTTGAATTTAAAAAGGCTAGCTGCATCTGACAGCAGTGTGTCTCAGCTACTTAAAGTCTAAGCTGGAGTGGGGGTGGGGAAGAGAAGAGTCTTCAATAAGTGTTTATTAGGACAGGGGACAGGTGATAAGTAGAGTGACTGTATCATGTGACATAGAGAGTCAAGGAAGGCTTCATACCAGAAGTTACAGTTAGGCTGGGTCTTAAAGGGTAGGTAATTTCTGGTAAATAAGAGTTCACTGAAGGCGGAGGGAATGGCATGTGCAGAGAGCAGGGTGTTTGGAAAAGAACTGACATTTTGGGGGAATAATGAGCATGATACTTTGAAGCATCTTACAGTCTCTACGACTGAGTGCTGTCCCCTATATCACAGCCCTGGGAGAGCTGCAAAGGAAGAGCATATTCTATTGTAATTTTTGTTAAACTCAAGGCTGAAGACCCTCCAAATGTGTATGAGTAACCAGTTTCTCATATGCTTTCCTAAATCCAATGTGAGCTTTCAGATCGACAGAGCAAAGGCTTTCACAATCAAGGCCATCTTTCCCCAGGGTTGCCAGTATCACCAGAGGTGGCTAATGGTCCAGCAAGACCCAGTGCCACCTGTGGTACATCCCCACGTTGCACCTCTGGCCTCACTATTCATGAGCTGTCCAAAAAAAGGTGCTGCATTTGTCATTCGTTGTCACACAGTGACTACCACCAACTGTATGCTCAAAAATATTGGTTAAGTGCATGGATTAATGGGACCTACATCTTGTGCTTTACAAAAGATAGAGGGTTTCTGATCCTCCCCCCACCCCCATTTCCAAAGGAACACTTCTATTAAGTTCCTGATTGTGGTAGAGACTGTCAGCTCTTGTGGCCTTTCTGGGCACACAGGTAGACAAGACCACACACTTCACAGCTTTCTTGTGATTGGATGGGGCCGTGTGACCAGACTTGAAGGGAGACTGGAAGTGATGGTGCTACTTCCTGCAGGAGACATTTGAATTAGTACATCAGTCTGTTCTCAACAATGATCCCAGGATTCTTGAGTTGAGATGATAGTATCATTAGATGGAGGGGTGTGGATTTCTGAGTCACCAGATGGAAGCATACCTCACGCTGACCCTCATGGGAACATGTGGAAGAATTAAATCTCTGTAGTTCCAAGGAGTTGCCCTGCTGCAGACCCTACCATGATAAATGTATCAGTACGTTCCACTTCCTTTCCATAAAACAAAGTGGAAGTATGGATTAGACATCAACTCAATAAATAATACTATTCATGAAATATTTGATGGAGGCCACAAAGAGAATAGCTGTCTTTCAATGGACAAGTTCTACGTCACTTTCTCTCCTTTAGAAAAACACACAAAAGAAACTTCTCAACTTGCAGTTTTAGAAAAGGCTGAGTATCTCTTGAGCATTTGAAAATAAAGTTACTAAGAATGTTCTTGATTGATCTTTCATAGCCTTGCTTACCAGGAAGCTCTGAACCAAATATATGACTTATGTATGGCCTCTCAGAATGCATTTTTGTCAGATCTCTACTATAATTACTTTGCTCTCAGTCCTCATTTTCCCTTTGGGTTCTGATTTCTCCAATTTTGCATCTTCTCTGTGTTTTATACTCTTTTATGTGTGTTTAAAACTGTCTTCTGTGGAAAGGATAAAGAGGACAAGGAAGTTGAGAACCAGATTTTTAGGATGAGCTCCGGACAAATGATCTGTGAGCCTTTCTTCTAATCCTGGTGAAAGCAGACAGTATAAATCAGCTGAGTTCAACAATCAGTGCTGTTGATTTTAATTTACTCTTCTGGTTTTCATGACTATTAATTTTTCCTTTGATTTATAACAGGGTAGCTCAAAGAATATGTTAATGATGATAATTACTGGTGTAAGATAGTTTGTGGCAGTGGTTATATCTTACAGTTAGTTTAAAATAACTGTAGGGGCGCCTGGGTGGCTTAGTCGGTTGAGCGTCTGACTTTCGCTTAGGTCGTGATCTCGCGGTTCGTGGGTTCGGGCCCCGCGTCGGGCTCTGTGCTGACTGCCAGCTCAGAGCCTGGAGCCTGCTTCAGTCTGTGACTCCCTCTCTCTCTGACCCTCCGCTGCTCACGCTGTCTCTCTCTCTCCTAGAAATAAATAAAAATGTTATAAAATAAAATAAAATAAAATAAAATAACTGTGCTCATGGATTCAGGGTCCCCAGATGACATTCAGTCACTAGTACTTCCTCCTTCTGGAGCTTCATATACCATTTTGATTCACATTTTTCTTGGAAAACCTGCCCTCCAGAAAATTCACCCAACTGGTGATAAATATCTGATGCAGAAATATTAACTTTTAAAATCCCAGCTCATACCTCACCTATTACCTTTGCTTTCTGTGCCTGTGTAGACTTAGCAGCTTGAATTACCTCTCCTATACATGCATTGAAAGGCAACACTTATTATTCCCACATTTCATATCTGTAAATGATCTACAACAGATGCACATAGACACATGTGAAAAAAATTCTTTATTAATTTCTCACATTTCATTACAAAATGTATGTTGCAAACAACTTGAGTAACCTACTGGTGTGTTTTGTTGTTTTTTTAAACCCTTGGCTTCAAGAACTCAGAGTCTCCCTCTTTCCTATCAAGTACTGGGAAACACTGATTATTGGAGTCAACAGGTTCTCATTTTGCTATTTATCTTCTCTCAAGCTCTGAAAAAAAAAATGTCCTCTGTATAAATTAAACAAAAAATGTTGTAAATTCTATGTCATTACAGTCAACAGAATTATAATAATGCATCCAAAATGTGCGGCCACAAAATATCAGGTATATGTTTGAAAAAAGAAAAAAATGACATTCTAGCCTTGTTAAAAGGATAATGGTCCCATATTTTTATTAACAGGTTAGCAAAACAAAATCCAATGGATTACAATATTTACATGTTATTTGAAAAATAAAGTAGTGATAAAAGCATGTCACAATTATTTTCTGTTTTTTTTCCTTTTTCTTTTTTTTCTTTTTTTTTTTTTTTTGCTTGTTTTTGTTTTGTTTTTTTGTGGTTTTTTTTTGGTAACCATACAAACACCCAATCCAGGTATGGAACTGTTTAATACATTTGAAATGAGGCCAATTAAAAACAAATATGGACACAAAATGTTATCTTTGTCTAGATAACACTTTCCCCATTTTCTGGTTTCCACATGATGGCCCCCATCCCTAAAAAAAAAAAATTAAATTAAAAGAAATTCCCTACAAATAAAAATTTTTAACAGCAAGAAAATAAAAGAAGAACATGCTTTTCAAGTAAGCACTTATTCCACAAATGCAATATCTTTCCATGGATTTTATTTGAAGCTGTGTGGGACACTGTCATTTCAGGATTCCCTGCCCCTTTCTTCCCTCCCCCTCCCACAGCCCTTCCAAGTAAAAAAAAAAAAAAAACAAAAACAAAAACAAAAAAAACCATGAAAACCAAAGGACTCTCACGCACACACACATCCAAACGCACGCACACACACACACAGGCTTCTATAACCTAGGCTTCAAGAAAGTTTTTTTTCTACTTTTTGGAATGAAACCCTTTGTTCACAACCAGAACATATTATAAATGTAGACTTAGATTTAGTCTAAGCTGCTCCCTCCTGAAAAAGCTAATATGGGGAAACAGAGCAGCTGGCAGCTAGTTTAAAAAAAAAAAAAAAGTAGTTCTCCAGGCTCCTTGTAGGATATAAGTATTTCTTGTCCACTGTCGCCAAAGGGATGGGATTCTAGCACATCCCCTTGTCCCGCAAAATAAATGAAAACAAACCCTCCCCCAAAACACAATGCAAACAAAAACAGAACACAGATTTTTAAATCACACACAAAAGCCAGCCCATCCTAAAGAAATTATTTGTGTGAGACAGATAATGTGTTAATTTGACAAGCAACAAAAGGGTGAAGAGGACTTCCTCATCTGGCCCACAAGCTGCATAGCTGTGCCGAAAAGTTTGGTTCTTTAGTTAAATTAAGGGGAAAAAAAAGTTAACTTCTTTGTTATTTTCATGTTTAAAATAAAGACATTCCTATTCACAAAAAACTCCCTTGCCCCCAAATTAAAACAACAATAACAACACGCACACAAAAAACAATTTATGTGAAAACTGAATTGTGCTGTGTTTGTAACACTCAGATTGATAGAAAATAAACGTGGCAAACAAAACTCCACAGTCACCATAAAATTAGCTCACATGAATCTACCAAATTCTAAATTATAGTTGAACACTAATAAACAGCTTACCTGGAATAAAGGATGACAATTCACAAACAGTTATCTAATAATTAAAGTCTGTTTCTTTTTTTTGTTTTGTTTTTTACTAAAATAATTAAAAAATCACAGTATTTTAAGAAATAAAACCCACGTGGGGATTTTAAGCACAATTTGTGTTCCTTTCTTTAAAACTCTCTCTTTTTTCTCCATTCACCATCTTGCCCAGCAGTTCTCTCTACATTTAACCACAACGACGACAGGTAGTACTGACAAATGCAGAGAATTCCCTTGGTTAAGTTTGAGGTACTAGGAAACAGGTGACTGTTTTTATGCAAAGCAGTTTTTTGTTTTCTGTTTTTGTTTTTTTTGTTTGTTTTTTCCCAAAGCGGCTGCAGTTAGGTCTTGAAAAAGCTTAAGGTATTAAAACTAGAAAAACGCACCGAAAGATGTGCGTCAAAAAGTTGTTCCCCTAAGAGAAGTCTTGTACTGTCACGGAGCTTCTGCTTCCACATCCTGTCCAAGACCACCACAAAGCACACCGTGTGCATGGGAGGTGCTTCCATATTCCGCAACAAATGACACTTCCATGATGAAGATCCAGAAGAAAAGGTGTAGTGATGGAAAAGGAGCCACATATTCCAACCATTAAATAACTTTAATTTACATACTCACTCACACAGGTACCAGTGCTTTGAAAATAGATTGTTCAGTCCTAAAAAGCAGCTTTGTTCTGTCTTCTTTTCTGTCCCCACCCTTCTCAGCCCAAGCTGGCCCTCCCCACTTTCTTATCACGGTTCAAGTACGGTTTGATTAAGAAGTTCACCAAACGCTTATTCTTTTTTGGCCTCTGCATTCTCCAGGAGAGATTTGTCAGCAGCTACTACACAGATGGCTACTGTTTCACTCTTTAGGGAAAAGTCTATCCCGATTGCTTCATCATCTTCCTTTTCCTCTATAGAGGGCATCTTAATACTGTCCTCCACACTCTCTTTCAGGTGGATTTCTTCTCTGCTCACCTGCTTGATGTCATTCAATGCCCTGGAGAAACAGTGATGGTAGAGACAGATGAGTATACATTTTTTCCTAATTAAACAAGAAGTGTCCTTATTTCCCTGATCCTAAAAACACCTTAGGGTTTCCTTTGCATAAATGCCACGAACGTATGACTAAATTGTGAGCAATTTATCCTTTGCTACATGTTATGCTTAGGTCATGCATTTCTGGCATTTTATTAAAGATGTGAATCTACTCTGTTTTGGTTATACCATTTCATGTATCCACATTAACATAATTATTTTATGTTCCCTCATCTACTGGGTGATAGGTCATAATTGGTAGTAGCAAGAACTGTGTTATGCTCAAACTCCTATGTAACCCATAAGTCTGGAGATTAGACGTATTTATGAAAACTAAAAGAGCAGCTCAGGTAAAGATTTAATGGATGGGTCCAGAAACAAATCATAAAAACAAACAAAAAGTAAAAATCTAAAGATGGAACCCATGTCTAGGGAAACTGAGTTATGTTCTCTAAAGTTTAGATGCTTGTGGTTTCAGGGGCATTTTCTACTTAGGGACCAACTCCTGGGTTCTCTCTGTGTCTGGCAGACTAAGAGTGCCTTGCCTAGGGGGCAGTTTATATTCAATCTTACAAGTGTTTTACGGATATGCTCCCACCTACCTGGGAGGCAGGCAGAAGCTGGCTCTGTCCCCGAGGCAGAGCATTGAAGGCACCAAGAGGTGCGAGGGAATGTTCAAGGCCACTCAGGGAATGAGTCATCACAGAGGCAGGAACAGAAGCCAGATCTTTTGACCCCGGTCCACGCTCTATCAGAGAATGTCAGGCTAATGAAAGCTGAAGGGACACTGGCTGGAGAAAGCGCTAAACTTCCACGCGAGGGCTTGAGCGGGATTTGTCATTCGTAAAGATGATTTTTCCTCATTTGAGTTGTGTCTGGGTGACCATTGAAAAAAACCAACAGAAAAGAAGAAACCTAGTTCCTGATGGCTGCCTCTCCTCCCAAGCCCAGAGGTGAAGTGTGACACAGAGGAAAGGGTCTACGGATTGTCAGGGGGACCAAAAAAAACAAAAAAACCAGAACCTGCTCTCCCTGCCACTTCTCACTTTGGGCAAAGGCGATCTTGAGATGGCTCAACTTACATGCCGTGTCTCAGCACGTGCCTTTCCCACTCAGAGCCCTGTGAGAATGCCCGTCCGCAAAATTCACATGGAAAACGCTTCTCAGTGTTAATAGCAGCCCCATGGTCAGCAAATCTCATCAGATCTGTGAGGAGAAAGCAGAAGTGTTACCTGTGTGCTGTGGGAGGAAGCAGAAGAGGGAAATCAACATTCATTAGGAAATCTCCTTTCTTTCCTACCTTTACCCATAAAACCCTCCATGAAGGCAATTTCCAGATTCCTTGCTCTTAGTTCCTCTAGTGGCTTCTCACGTCAGGGTGTTTCTTGGAATGCTCTCAAGAGCAGCTCCTGGGTCCCAGGGCCCACCGGTCCCATTCCTCCTCAATGCCTCATCACAAATAGTATGGGTCCTTTTGCCCTGAAGAACCCATTCTGTCCATTCTAACAACATCTCAGCAGTTTTTTCTATTGAATCTCTTCCTTCTGGGATGCTCTATCAGTGCCAGCGGTTTAGCACCTATTCATTTTCTATTTGACACAGGTTTATCTTTGCTCACTAAAAAGAATATAGAGGCACTAGACCAGGTTACGGGTGGCAGACCTCAGGGTTTTGATGCATTCCAAGTACAGCTGAGGGCTCACGACTTGTGCTCATCTGTCACGGATATCATGATCAACACCTCACAGGGTGGCTACGAGCACTGAATGAGATCCACTAGCATGAGCGAGCTAGCGTGAACGAGAATCCAGGGCAGCGGGGAGGCCAGTTTGTAAAAGCATGTCCTCAGCTAGTGAGGGCCCCTGGCTGTCTGCCTGACATCTACTCCGCAATCAGTGGTACTCATGAATGCAGGGGTATAGACATTTCTGCAAGGTCTGTTGCAAACATCAAATACTGACGGTCGTTTTGTTTTCTCCATGGCGCTGGGCACATGTTCGGGGTCTGATCAATGTGGATTGGCTGGCTAATTGTTTACAGACCACTCCTCCTGGCAAACTCAAAAGATGAGAGCTCATGTGGCCTTTGTGGTCTCCTGAGTCGCAAGCCCATATGTCTTTCGTTACACCACAGAGGGCCAATCTCCTTTTGGATAATAAATAGCAGGGCCAAGACGGTCCTGCAGCCATGTGGCGGAGTGAGGGCAGCGTACAGGGAAATGTCCATCATCTCCACATACCTGATCACTCTGTGCCTGTACATACAAGATGTTACAGGAAGATGTCCCCTGGTTGAAATACTCCATCTAATAAAATCTTCAGGATGATGTTAACAGGATAGGTGTCTCTGTGCTGCCTTACTTAATCTTTAGCACAAAAAGCTATGTGAATGGGGCCAGTTTTAACAAAAGATGAAACATTTTCTCACAAATTAAGAAGATCACCATACAAGCCATTAAAAATAATTGCACAGACTATCTTCCTTGATTCTTTTCATTGGAAATGAGACAGCACCATCTGCTCTGCGCATTAATTCCTTAGCAGGGATTATCTTGGGCAAGAAATCAACAGAATGCCTTCCTGACTCCTCCCAACTGCATAATGAGAAGGGGGTGGGGAGGATTCTGCTTGGGTTAATTTTGATTTCTTCATGCCTGGTTTCTTCTCTTTCAAATTCCCTCCCAGCTTCCTAGGGAGGACCTGTGATACGGCCACGGTCAGTCTTTTCTCCTGTTCCTGTGCTGGAAAGGGCACTGGGAACAGAGTGGCTACAGGGACATGAGCTCCCTAAACTGAGCGTGCCCCAGGAAAGTCTACATTTGCCAATGAGGGGCCTGCTCCTGGCACATTTGCTCCTTTACCCTTAGGAAACATGAAACCAGTCATCTATTCTTTCCAATGGCTCATGCTGTTTCATCCTCAAAGGAGGAGGCCAGTCATTACCTGTCACACATCAAATAGCTCTCCATCAGCCCTGAGAGCTGCGCTAAAGCCACCTCCTCTCTACTCCTAGAAGACAGACCGTCTGGCAAAAAATCCCCAAGGCTATTGTGTTCCATTTCTTCTTGTTGGCAAGAATATACCTAGATGGTGGAAAACTGATTCAAAGGAGATGAGACAAAGGAGGCTGTTCTTTCAAGGATCGGAGAGGGGAGTGGGGAGGGTTAGGCTTGTAATTCCCATTAACATTACTAGAAGTTACTCATGTAAATCCCCAACGCTCAGAGAGAGGAATATATGCTCCTCTACCCAAAGACGTTTTCTCCCCATGTTGTTAAGGCTCATGAATGTGGATACCACACTTCCCAGTGAGAAGTGACCAGACACCATGAAATTCTTTATAGTCAAACCGAACTGATCTGCTGCCCAGTTCCCACACGAAGTGGGCGGCCAAGCCAGGCAAGGAAGGAAATTTGCCTGGTGCCCCACACACCTAACTACCATCTATTTTTCTAATTTGTTCTGCTTTCATTCTGGAGGAATCACAGGGAGGGGAGGCCTGAAAGGGCTTCTTGCCTCTGCAATGCTTGTAACCTCTAAAATCATATGTGCTCAGCTTTAGAGATTAAAACAAGTCACAGTATCCAACAAGGAATAACTTATTTCCTAAAGAGGAACAGCAGGGCACAGAGCATCATGAAGCAAAAGGAGCCTCTGTACCCTCTGTCAAAAGCATCCTCTTCCAGAGAACTCTGCTAACAGTGCACAGACGTTAAAGAATTCATCACTAAGAACATATTTGTGAAATGTTAAAAAAAAAAAAAAAAATAATTCTTTTTGACACCATGCTTCCACAGATCACAGCCATTTTCCTTGCAAGAAATGGATCGCTATGGTGTCTACTAATAAAAGTTGTGACTTTTCAAGGGCAGTCAACCTACATAGTAGGATGTTTTATTTGTCCATTCATTCTTCAGGTTGACCACGGGCATGTAGGCTTTGAAAAGTGGGCAGTCCATGCTGTTGTCTTCACTGGGACTTTAGGAGCCTGAACGGACCCCCACATTGCAAAACTGTGGTCCCCTGCTATGGTGGTCAGGGTGGGGATGGAGTGGAGGAGGGGCAGGGCAGGTAAAAGAACAGGCAGAAGACCCTACAAGGGAAATGGCCACCAAGGAGGCTTTTGGAGGCCTGCAGACAGAGTGAGGAGGGGAGGTAATGACATTCTGCAGATATGCACCTCGGAGGGAGGCCCCAGGGGATTCAGGTCTGGGTTCCAACCCTTCAATGAAGAACATCCTACTGTTCAAAGGGTTCAGGAAATGGGATGTAGTGTAAAGAGATCTTGGCTTTGGAGCCAGAAGACCTAAATTCGGCCTCCAATATATTTTTCATTTTTTTTCCTTTGAACAGGCTTTTAAGTTTTCTGGGCCTTTATTTCCCCCTTGGCAAAATGATAATACATGACATGGCAGGGTTATCATTGATTAGATGGTTACTATGCTCCAGGAACTGGACTGGGGTCTTACATATCATCTCATTTAAGCTCTCCACAACTCTAGAAGTTAGGTGATATTATTATTATTATTATCAGTAATGAATGCACAAGGGATAAAATAACTTACCCAAAGTCATAGAGCTAGTTAATAGCAGAAATGGAAGCCAAATTCAGGCAGACCAACTGCAGAGCCCTCTAAATTATATAAGCTTAAAGAAAATACTGGACGTGGCACATAAGGATGCTCCATGCTGGTAAGCTCATCCCATTCTTATCATCACTGGGATGATACCTATAGTTAATTTCTCATGTCCTGTTATCCATGTGCTTTTGATGAATCTCCAATAGCTACACTAATATATCCAAAACCCACAGTCATATATGTACCATCTTGGAATTTCTGCAATATTCTGTGTTGAACAATATAGAAAACCGACTCTAGATCATTTAAATGTATGTCTACTTTTTTTTGAATGGTTTATATATATACTTTTGAAAAGCTTTATCTTGAAAATAATCCTGGACTCAGAGGAAACTGGAAAAATAGTACAAAAATCCCTGAAACCTTCCCCTGTAAACATGGTTGTATGAAAACTGTTGATCCGTTTCTCTCTCTTTACGAGGGTCTTAAGAAAAGAGCCAGGCAAAGGGACTTCCAGAGAGGGCTCAGGATTCAAGTTCTTTGCAGCCTTGCAGTGGATGCCCCAGCAGCAGCAATTTTAGATAAGTGCTCAATGGGAAGATCATTTATATTCCTTGTGATGAAATGTAAAGGTCATTTACACTTACAGTGTACTCTGTCTTTCTGTCTGCCTGTCCTTATTGTGAAGCTTCTGTAGACACCAGTTTTCCTTATTAAAAACAAATCACCACCATATATTTTTTTAACATACAGCTATAGTTAGAAAATGTCTGTTTTCCTTGGAGTTTCTATAGCTGGTAATAGTTTACAAAGACATGGCCCCTGATATGTTTCTTAAGTCAGTCTGTTTTGCTACTTAACTAAGAAGGATCATTCCTTCTGTTCCTCCTCCAACAACCTTCTGCCTCCCTTCTGTCTCCCCATGGACGTGCTAGATGCCATCTGGGCCTCCGAGGGCAGGGCTGAGACTAACCTCTGTCATCAGCCTTGCTGTTCATTTCTTCTTCCTTGTCCTCGTCATCACTGCTGGAGCTCTCCATCTTTTCCTTCATCTGTTCCAGCTGATCCAAGTTAACCCGTCCAACCAGCTCAAAGTTACGGCTCACCTGAAAAAGGAAAAACGAATGACAGAATAATGAACCACAGCCTGAACGGGGTTCTCCCTGGGGGAGAGATCTTTCCAACATCATTTTCTAATGACTCTGTTTTAGGAATCAGGCCCATACACGGGGCGCCTGGGTGGCTCAGTCAGTTAAGTGTCCGACTTTGGTTCAGGTTATAATCTCACAGTTTGTGGGTTCAAGCCCCACATCGGGCTCTGTGCTGACAGCTAGCTCAGAGCCTGGAGACTGTTTCAGATTCTGTGTCTCCCTCTCTGACCCTCCCCTGCTCACACTGTCTCTCTCTCTCTCTCAGAAATAAATAAAACATTAAAAAAAAAAGGAATCAAGACTTTTTTACTAGTAAACCCTAGTGCCTATGAGGCCCTTTTCTTCACTTGGATTATTTTAGAGGTGGATCTGTCCTTTTCCCCTACATTCCAACATTTTTAAAGGAACCCTGGACCTTCCTTACTAGACTAGTATAAAACGTGAGCCACAGTCAATAGGAAATCAAAGTATCACAAAGTGTGGGGTCTAGAGTATGTATCCGATAATACTTTTTGAGTTGATTTCAAAGGTGTAACTTTTGTAAACTACCCAAGTTTCAAATACCTCTGGAGGTGAAGAGGCTCTTTAAGATTCCTAAAAACTTAGCATGAGAGTCACAACTTTCTTCCCCACAATCTTATAAACCTAGAGGTCTGGGGACTATCCCAGCTTAGGCCAGATAACAACTATCCAATTCCTGACTCCAGTAAATGGAAAACAGTACTGTCACTGTTAGTGTTACTGTTTTCAAAGCTGACCATAACTTATAGACTGAAGCTGGGACTACCTGAGAAAAATCTAAATGAGTAACCCCTAAAAGCCCTTTAAGTGTTAACTACAGCTGATTTTTATTTATGTAAAACATGGTTAGAATAATGTGGGAATCCAAACTTTCTTCCAAATAACACCCAAGGGAAATAAAAATCCACACTAAAAAAACTTTATAATGATGTTATGTTTAGGGTTCTCACATCAACAGTCACACAAAATTTACCTTCTTGACTATTTTCAGAACTTCTCCAGTTGTATGCATAGAATTATCAGGAATGACAAGTTAGCACGGGACTCAAGCCAACAAAATGTCTCATGCCATTCAACAGTGATGGGCTCTTCTTCCTCTGTGGAAGGTGCCATTCTCCCTCCCCCTGTTGGGGGCCAGGGGAGGGACCCACAGAGATGGGACCCTGTCCTGGCCTCCAGAGGCTCACAGTTTAGTTGGGCAGGGAAGGCAGACATCATTCATTAGATTCGAAGGTAGATTTCAGTAGCTGCTACAGAAGAGATAGAGCATATTGAGGGCACAGGAGAGGAAAGGAAGAATTTACAAGATAATCCCAAAATACTCCCTGGGACCAGACTGGAACAAAGATTTGCTGAGCACCACCAATTCCATATGCCTGGCAGATGGGAACATCATCATCAACTGTGACAAATGTGAGAGAAAAAGACTCAGAGTAGCAGGGCCAAGAGACAGTCGTGTGGAAAGACTTAATACTGCCCCAACAACATCCTGGAGAAGGTAGGGAGCATGCAAAAGGAGGAAGAAAACTCAGGATAAAAGTGCTTTTAAAATGAGAGGAACAATAGATTGATCTGACTATAATAATGCAATCCATGAAATCGATTGACAGTTGACTTTGCAAATAACTCAACATGAGGGAGAAAAGAAGTTTCTGTTGATCTCAATGCTAAATGCTCAGGAAAGGCAAGACCTTGCTTTGCTCATTTGCAGAATTAATTAAAATGAAAAGTCAATGGACTAAGGTAAGGAGAAAGAGTCGCGTTCAGAATCTTTATTGCTTTTTCTTGGCCTCTAAGAGGTCATAGTAATGGTCTTCAAAGGACTTTTGCTTGCAGCACCTTCCTACCTGGAATATATCTACCATGCCTCACTCCTACAGACCCAGATGGACTCTTATTTCTTTGTATGACATAAAAGAGAAGAGCAGAAGGAGCATGAGCTTTGAAGTCTGACAGATCTGAGTTCAAGTTCAGAGTTTGCCATTAACCACAAGAATGTGGGGAAATTACCCAACATAAGTCCTCAGTGTCCTCGTTTGTAAAAGGGGGTCAGCCCCGTACCTAAAACATAATAGTTCCCCAAAATGTAGTTTCCTTCTCCTTTCTGGGAACGTGGCCTTTTCCAATTTTGGCTTTTGGAAACGCTTATAACAAGCATCGTAAATGCATATTTATGAAGTTATGTTTAGCCACAAAGTCTACGTTTTAACCAAATAGCTTTATGACAAATATTTGAATAAAAGTTTTCTGGGTTGCCAGTTTTTCAGGAAAGGGAGGCAAGGTTCCAATTTACCTAACTTTGAAATATGTGTAAAGTAACTTATCCTTAAGTGACCAAATTTTTCTTCTTTTTTGTTTTCATAAATGTTTATTTCTGAGTGGGGGCGGGGAGGGACAGTGCGAGCAGGTCAGGGGCAGAGAGAGGGGGACAGAGGATCTGAAGTGGGCTCTGTGCTGCCAGCAGTGGCCCAACATGGGGCTTGAACTCATGAACTGTGAGATCATGACCTGAGCAGAAGTCAAACGCTCAACCGACTGAGCCACCCAGGTGCCCTGAAGGCAGCCTTGTGTGACTACCTCCCTCCACTTCTCACCTCAGGCTGGGGCAACTGCAGGTGTGTGTTAAGGGGCATGAGGGGTGGCTGCTGCCAGGAAACGAAAATCAGGAAACCAAAAAGAATCCTCAAACGTCTCCTTTAATCAGGTCATTCGTTAGTTCAGTCATTTGTTAGTTCCTTCAACAGGGACCCATGTATGCCAGGCCCCATGCTAGATGGAGGAGCCCCTGCTTCTCAGGAACTCATGACAGAAGGCGATCTGTCACAAAACCAAATGTTATGTTTTTCTTTTCCTCCTTCTGGGTTTTTCTAAGGACTGTATTTGCCCATTTTCCCATCACCATCATCCTTCTACCGGAAAACTGTTAACATGTTGGATTCTGCACAATTTTAAAAGAGTACATGACATTTTCATGGTATGACGTTCATCCGGGGCTAACCCAGGATTTATTTGTCCTGAAGCCCTCTAAAATCTTTGTTAGGTAATTAAAAGATTTCAAAGTGAAAACCAAAAATTTTACTATTTAACCAGAAGATTTTAAAATAAAAATCCTTTATGATGTTGGGTTCTTACTAAATTTTAAATTCCCAAATCAGCAATCCAATATTAATACAAAAGGAAGACTCCTTGATACATTAAAATTTTTTTTAACTAGGGGTGCCTGGGTGGCTTAGTTGGTTAAGCATCTGACTTCAGCTCAGGTCACGACCTCACTGTTCGTGGGTTCGGGCCCCGCATCGGGCTCTGTGCTGACAGCTTGGAACCTGGAGCCTGCTTTGGATTTTGTGTCTCCCTCTTTCTCTGCCCCTCCCCCACTTGCATTCTGTCTCTCAAAAATAAATAAACGTGAAAATTTTTTTTTTATTTTTTACACTATTATTTGAAATTTTAGTTATTAAAGATGTTAGTGGTTTATCATTAATTTTTTTTAAATGTGATTTTTAAACTTGAGGTATAGTTAACACACAATGTTACAGTAGTTTTGGGTATATAATATGGTGATTGGTTTATACATTATGCTAAGGTTTACATACTATACCACCAGTTTAGCTACCTCCAGTAACTCTACATCGCCATTTCAACACCATTGACTATACTCCCCATGTTGCACCTCTCATCCTCATGACTTATTCATAACTGGAAGCCTGTATCTCCTGTTCTTCATCCATTTTACCCATTGTGCCACCCCCTTCCTTCTGGCAACCATCAGTTTGTTCTCTATGTTTCTGAGTCTGTTTTTCGTTTATTAGTTTTTTCTAGATTCCACATATAAGTGAAATCATTTGGTACTTGTCATTCTCTGACTTATTTCACTTAGCATCACAGCCACTAGGTCCACCCTTGCTAGTTTTGAGCCACCATCCCTTACCTGGAATACTGCAAGCCCCCTCCCTACCTCCCTCCTCGCTGCTTTTCCAGCATCCATTCTTTCATCTATTCTCCCATGTGGTCTGAGAGATTAAAAATAAGTATGTAAATCTATTCATGTCAGTTTCCACTTGCCCTCAGGATAAAAATCTAAACTTCTCACTGTAGTTAGAAATGGCCAGCTGTCTTCTTACCGGGTCCACTTTCTTCAGACCACCTGAACTGCCACCACCCTGAACTTACATTCCCGGAATATGCCATGCTCTTGACTTTGTGCCTCTCTCTGTGCATGCTGCTTTCTCTATCTGAAATTCTCTCTACCTGCCTCCGTCACTCAGGGATTTTTCAGTCTTCCAGCCCTGTCTCCGTGTCACTATACCTGGGGACCCTCCTTAAGCTCCTCCTTGGTTTAATGTCCTGGGTCTAGGCTTCCACAGTACCCTCCCCTCCCCTTCTAAAACTCCTCCCACTCAATGGTTAATTGTTTATGGCCTGAGCCTCGTCCACCAAATTGTAAGCTCCATGAAGACAGACAGACACTGTGCATCTCGTGCACAACTGGGTCTCCACGGCCAGTGCAGTATCTGTATTAGAGGGGATGCTGCTCCCTCCTGCCTAGTATATTTCTTCGTTTTAATTTACTGTATCTTTCTTTCCTAGAAACATGCATGAAGAATAACTGGAAAACAGAAAAAGCTTCAGGTCCAACTACCTATACATATAACTGTCAACAAGTTATCGTATTTCTGTATTCTTGTTCTCCATGCATAGATTATTTAATTGCTGTAATCATATTAAAACCTACAAGTGTGTATCCTGCTTTTTTATGCCTGGCATGGTATAAATATCATTAATAATCATTGTTAATCACTGTTACCAAGTGAATATACTACAGCTTACTTGACTCTTCCTATATGAGCCTACCTTTGGCTCTTCTTGGCTTTTCACTATTAAAAATGCAGCAAATAGTCTTACTGTATATAAATCTTTCTTTCATGTTTAGCTTT